AATCTGTGCTTGGAGCTCAAACCAGCAAAAAGCAAAGGAATAAATCCCGGTTTTGGCTCGCTGAGCAGGCAGTGGTGCTGTTTTGCAGGTGTCCAAGGAGGAGGGCTCTGCCCTGGCCAGGGAGTTCAGCTGCCCCTTCTTCGAGACCTCGGCCGCCTTCCGCTACTACATCGACGACGTGTTCCACGCGCTGGTGCGCGAGATCCGCCGCAAGGACCGGGAGGCCGCCGCCGCCATGGAGAGGAAATCCAGGCCCAAGAGCAGCGTCTGGAAAAGGCTCAAGTCCCCCTTCAGGAGGAAGAAGGATTCGGTCACTTGAACAGCGGATTTCTCTGCAGAGCAGGACAGAAGCTGTGACCTTTTGCAGCCACGGGAGCTCGGTGACACCGCTGAGGGGACGTGGGACACCTGAGGGGTTGTGAGGGAGGGAATGCCTAACCCTGCCCGTTGTGTGTGTTTAGAACCATTCCTGCCTTGATCCTGGGCGTTGGACTTCTCACCCAGCACCAGTTGTATTTGTTTGTTGTCATTTTATTTCACTGCACCCACCAGGTCACCAAAGGCCGTGGGTTGGGGGCCCTGCAGTTTGGTTTGTGCTTGGTCACAGCAGAGGAGCTGAACTGAAACATTGCTGGAATTGGACCCAGCCTGGCTGAATCTGGGTTTTTCCTGGTGGAAAAGAGGATTTTGCTGCTCCCCACAATGTGAGGGGCTGAGCAGTGTCATGGCCTTGGAGGTCACCGAATTCCTTTTGGGACAGATTTCTTTCCAGCAAAATGGAATCTCTGTGTGCAGCTTCACCCCAGTGATCAGTGCTGCAGGTGGGACGTCACAAACCAGAATAATCCCAGAATCATTTAATCTGGAAAGATCCTGGGATCAGTGAGCCAGCACCGCCCTGTCAGCACATCCAGGCCCTCAGACAGCTCCAGGTGGGTTGGTGGCCCTGCACTTTGGTTTGTGCTTGGTCACAGCAGAGGAGCTGAACTGTGTAAAACTTTACTGGAATTGGACCCAGCCTGGCTGAATCTGGGGTTTTTCCTGGTGGAAAAAAGGATTTTGCTGCTCCCCACAATGACAGCCCACAGTGTGAGAGGCTGAGCAGTGTCGTGGCCTTGGAGGCCACCAGATTTCTTTTGGGACAGATTTCCTTCCAGCAAAATGGACATGGAATCCTTGTGTGATCAGTGCTGTGGGTGGGAATTCAACAAACCAGAATAATCCCAGAATCATTTCATCTGGATAGATCCCTGTCAGCACAGCCAGGCCCTCAGACAGCCCAGGTGGGTTGGTGGCCCTGCACTTTGGTTTGTCCTTGGTCACAGCAGAGGAGCTGAGCTGAAACATTGCTGGAGTTGGACCCAGCCTGGCTGAATCTGGGGTTTTTCCTGGTGGAAAAAAGGATTTTGCTGCTCCCCACAGTGTGAGAGGCTGAGCAGTGTCATGGCCTTGGAGGTCACCGAATTCCTTTTGGGACAGAAATATTTCTTTCCAGCAAAATGGACGTGGAATCTTTCTGTGCAACTTCACCCCAGTGATCAGTGCTGTAGGTGGGAATTCAACAAACCAGAATAATCCCAGAATCATTTAATCTGGAAAGATCCTTGGATCAGTGAGCCAGCACCATTTGGTCACCACAGCCAGGCCCTCAGACAGCCCAGGTGGGTTGGTGGCCCTGCCCTTTGGTTTGTCCTTGGTCACAGCAGGAGCTGAACTGTGCAAAAATTCCATCCTTGCTGATTCTGGGTTTTTCCTGGTGGAAAAGAGGATTTTGCTGCTCCCCACAGTGTGAGGGGCTGAGCAGTGTCATGGCCTTGGAGGCCACCAGATTTCTTTTGGGACAGATTTCTTTCCAGCAAAATGGAATCTCTGTGTGCAACTTCACCCCAGTGATCAGTGCTGCAGGTGGGAATTCAGCAAACCAGAACAATCCCAGAATCATTCCAGCTGGAAAGGTCCCTGGCACCACAGCCAGGCCCTCAGACAGCCCAGGTGGGTTGGTGGCCCTGCCCTTTGGTTTGTGCTTGGTCACAGCAGAGGAGCTGAGCTGTGCAAAAATTCCAGCCTGGCTGAATCTGGGGCTTTTCCTGGTGGAAAAGAGGATTTTGCTGCTCCCTGCAATGACAGCCCACAGTGTGAGAGGCTGAGCAAAGTGTCATGGTGTTGGAGGCCACCAGATTTATTTTTGGGACAGATTTCTTTCCAGCAAAATGGACGTGGAATCCTTGTGTGATCAGTGCTGCAGGTGGGATGTCACAAACCAGAACAATCCCAGAATCATTTAATCTGCAAAGATCCCAGGGATCAGTGAGGCAGCACCACCCTGTCAGCACATCCAGGCCCTCAGACAGCCCAGGGACAGCGACACCGGGCAGGGGCCGGGCCCTGGCAAGCTCAGCAAGAGGGGCTGATGCTCTGAAGATTGATTTTGATGCTCTAAAGAAGGAATTTGATGCTCTAAAGAAGGAATTTGATGCTATAAAGAAGGGTTTGATGCTATAAAGAAGGGTTTGATGCTCTGAAGAAAGATTTGATGCTCTAAACAAGGATTTGATGCTCTTAAGAATCATTTTGATGCTCTAAAGAATGATTTTGATGCTCTAAAGAAGAATTTGGTGCTCTAAAGTTTGATTTTGATGCTCTAAAGAAGGATTTGATTCTCATAAAGAATGATTTTATGTTCTAAAGAATTATTTTGATGCTCTAAAGATTGATTTTGATGCTCTCATAAAGAAGGAATTTGATGCTCTTAAGAAGGATTTTGCTGATCTTAAGAAGGATTTGGTGCTCTAAAGAAAGATTTGATGTTCTGAAGAATGATTTTGATGCTCATAAAGAAGGATTTGATGCTCTTAAGAATCATTTTGATGCTCTAAAGATTGATTTTGATGCTCTAAAGAGGGATTTTGCTGATCTTAAGAAGGATTTGATGCTCCAAAGAAGAATTTTGATGCTCTGAAGAAGGATTTTATGTTCTAAAAAATGGTTTTGATGCTCTAAAGATGGATTTTGATTCTCTAAAGATTGATTTGATGCTCTGAAGTTTGATTTTGATGCTCTAGAGATTGATTTTAATGCTTGAAAGAAGGATTTGATGGTTTAAAGAAGAATTTTGATGCTCTAAAGAATGATTTTATGCTCTAAAGAATGATTTTGATGCTCTAAAGATTGATTTGATTCTCTAAAGATTGATTTGATGCTCTAAAGAGGGATTTTGCTGATCTTAAGAAGGATTTGATGCTCTAAAGGATGATTTTGATGCTGTAAAAATTGATTTTAATGCTCTAAAGAACGATTTGATGCTCTAAAGAAGGATTTTGGTGATCTTAAAAAGGATTTGATGCTCTTAAGAATCATTTTTATGCTCTACAAGATTGATTTTGATGCTCTAAAGAAGGAATTTGACGTTCTAAAGAAGAATTTTGATGCTCTAAAATTTGATTTTGATGCTCCAAAGAAGAATTTTGATTCTCTAAAGAAGGATTTGATGTTCTAAAGAAAGATTTTGACACTCTAAAGATGGATTTTGGTGCTGTAAAGAAGGATTTTGATGCTGTAAAGGAAGATTTAATACTCAAAAGAAGGATTTTATGCTCTAAAGATTGATTTTGATGCTCTAAAGAAGGAATTTGATGCTCCAAAATTTGATTTTCAGGGTGTCAGGAGCTCCACACCTGCCCTGGTTCTGGTGGATTTTTCATCAATTTTGGCAGCAGATCCTGGGCCCTCACTTGGATTTTGCTGTTTAATAATCAGAATTAACACTGGGTCACTCAGATGGGGATAAACGAAATTTCTGTGAGGAAAATTCCGAGAAAAACTCCGGAAAATTCCCTGGAATCCTTCATTGGGAGAGTGAAAAAGCTGATTGTACTTAATAAAACTGAAAAAAGGCTTGGTAAAATAAATATTAAAAAATATATGTATATGTAAAAAATTGTTATTCCCTAAAAAATCCTCTGCCTGTTTTTTTGGAGAATTATTTTCCATGTGGAAAATTTCAATAGAAGGGAAGAGTGGCGGGGAAAATTTGATATTTGCTTTGTGATTGAGCTGAATATTTCAATTTATTTCCATTTATTTCCATTTATTTCCATTTATTTCCATTTATTTTCCATCTCCTGCCTGCTCTGCTGCTCTGGCAGCAACCACAGAGTCCAAAAATTGATTTGGAAAATTTTTGGAAAATTTTTTGGAAAATTTTCCAATTTTTTGGAAAATTGGAAAATTCAGATTGAAGCAAAAAACGCCTGAAGGAAAATTCAGAATTTCTGACTCCTGTGCGAGCAGCCAGCAGCGATTTTCTCATTTTTGGGATTAAAATCTGCCTAAAATTCAAATAAAAAGCCAAAAACTGGAGGGAGAGGAGGAGGAATCACCCCAAAAAATGGAATTTTGTGCCTTAGCTGAGTCCTGAGTTCACTAAAATTCTGTTGCTTCTAGAATTCATAGAATTCACAATTTTTTCCTTTAGAACAGCAGCCAGCACTTTTTGTGGTTTTATTTTAATTTTTATTTTATTTTTTTTTTACACAGTGTTATTCAAAGAGTTTTATTTTTTGGCATGTATGAGTTTGTACACAGAGCAATGGCTTTATTTGACACAATATAAATAATTTTTAATACAAATTTTTGTGTTGTCTCAGTTTGTGGTGGGGTTGCTCAAAGAGGAAAATTCATTGTAAAATTTGGGGGGGAAAATGAGATTTAAGTGGTGCAAAACCTAAAAATTCACTGAGTTTGGTGCTGAATTGTTGAAATTTGAATATTTTCCACCTGAATTTTATTTGTGATTTTCCAAGGAAATAATTTGTCGGGTTTTGCCTTTTTCTGACCCAGAGATGGGAAAACTGAGAGGAATTTGAAAAACTTTTATTCCATTTTTAGTCTCGTGTGAAAGGTGGGACAATACAAATATGAAATGAAATTTTATATTTAATTAAATAAATTTAATTAAATAATTAAATATTAAAATTGACACCATCACAATCAAAACCAATTAATTAAAATTCATTAGAAGGGTTTCTTAATCTATCACCTTTAACTACTCTATATTAAAAGTTAAAACCAATAATTAAAATTATTTCACAATCCATCTTCCATAATTCTATTTTTCTGAAATTATCTATTCTTATTTACAAAACTGTCCTTTGATTTCTAATTCCATTTTTCTCTCAATGTCTTATTCTATAAAATTTATAAATCAACATTTCTTATCTCCAATTTTACATACAAATAACATAGAAATACATAAAAATACCAAATTTATAAACCTTCAGTCAGGCTTTAAAAATTCTCTTTTTCTGAAATAATTCTCCTCCNTTCAGGTTTAAATTTCAGGTGAAAATTTCAGGTGAAAATTTCAGGTGAAAATTTCAGGTTTAAATTTCAGGTGAAAATTTCAGGTTCAAATTTCAGGTTTAAATTTCAGGTTCAAATTTCAGGTTCAAATTTCAGGTTTAAATTTCAGGGGAAAATTTCAGGTGAAAATTTCAGGTGAAAATTTCAGGTGGAAATTTCAGGTTGAAATTTCAGGTTTAAATTTCAGGTTCAAATTTCAGGTTTAAATTTCAGGTGAAAATTTCAGGTGAAAATTTCAGGTGAAAATTTCAGGTGAAAATCTCAGGTTTAAATTTGAGGTTTAAATTTCAGGTTCAAATTTCAGGTGAAAATTTCAGGTTCAAATTTCAGGTGGAAATTTCAGGTTCCAATTTCAGGTTCAAATTTCAGGTTTAAATTTCAGGTGAAAATTTCAGGTTTAAATTTCAGGTGAAAATTTCAGGTTCAAATTTCAGGTTCAAATTTCAGGATTCTCACCATTTTTCGTGCCAGGTTTGGATCATTTCTGACCCAAAGTGAAGATTTTTCATTTTGTGGAAATTCAGATTTTTCATTGTGTGGAAATTCAGATTTTTCACCTTTTCCCGGACCAGCTCTGCTTTCCTGGCTCAGCTTTTGAACAGAAATAATCAGAATTTGCTGGGAAATGTTGGAAATTCCCTCCCCAGTCATTGACACAGCGGGGCCTGGCTTTTCTGGGGGAAAGGGAAATTAAATCAAATTAAAGTGAGCGGGATTTAATGCACAGGGAGGGTTAAATCATGAAAATGAGCAGGGTTAAATAATGAAAATTAGCAGGATTAAATGCACAGGAAGGATGAAATAAAATGAAAATTAGCAGGGTTAAATGATGAAAATGGGCAGGATTAAATAAAATGAAAATGAGCAGGATGAAATGCACAGAGAGGGTTAAATCAAATAAAACTGAGCAGGATTAAATAAAATTTAAATGAGCAGGATTAAATCATGAAAATAAACAGGATTAAATGCACAGAGAGGGTTAAATAATGAAACTGAGCAGGATTAAATGCACAGGGAGGATTAAATCAAATTAAAATGAGCAGGATTAAAAAATGAAAATAAACAGGATTAAATCATGAAAATGGGCAGGGTTAAATCATGAAAATGGGCAGGGTTAAATGCACAGGGAGGGTTAAATAAAATTAAAATGAGCAAGATTAAATGCACAGGGAGGATGAAATAATGAAAATGAGCAGGATTAAATGATGAAAATAAACAGGATTAAATGCACAGAGAGGGTTAAATCAAATTAAAATGAGCAGGATTAAATCAATTTTAAATGAGCAGGATTAAATGCACAGGGAGGATTAAATCAAATAAAACTGAGCAGGATTAAATAAAATTTAAATGAGCAGGATTAAATCATGAAAATGATCAGGATTAAATGCACAGAGAGGGTTAAATAATGAAAATGAGCAGGATTAAATAATGAAAATAAACAGGATTAAATCAAATTTAAATGAGCAGGATTAAATACACAGAGGGGGTTAAATAAAATTAAAATGAGCAGGATTAAATAATGAAAATGAGCAGGATTAAATGATGAAA